TCTATTTCGGTTCTCGCCCAATCTCACTTTGCTGTGCATCGCAAAGTGGCGAATGGTTTGTCTATGTCTTTTTTTACTGGTTAAGATGGTGCAAATTGCATTTTTTCATTGAGTTCGTTTCTGCTTTTCATCTTCAGTGTTTGCGTTATTTCACGTACTTCGGAAACCGCCATGTTGAGGTTACAGGGTTCACTGCCTACGATCAGTTTTGCTCAAAATTTTTGAGGTTACAGCAACTCATTTTTCCGTCGGAGATCCTGAGTGGAAGAGATTTTCTTTAACTTAAAATTTTCTCGGTTAAGGAAATTCATAATGACGTACTTTATTCAGTTTCGTCCCTTTGGCATGTACATACTTAACTTTATCAATCACTAACAGTTAATGCTCCACATGTCGTGAGCGGCTCGACGTACTTTTTGACTTGCTTGGGTCTTTTAAAACAAGTGAGCGTAAAACCAGTCAGAGCGGACCGTTGCATGAAGAACTATATCTCTCATAATGATCCGTGTATTTTAGGATAACCGTTGCGGCGATCCTCTCGCATAGTTCTTACAACTTGTAGATCGATTCCGCTAACAGAGTTTACATGATTTGTGTGACATTTTTCAACTGATGTTTTCGGTTTAATCTATCTTGTAGGCCGAAAACCGCCATCGTCTTCACTGATTTTGCATTATCTGCACAGGTATTTATAAATATTCATGAGGGTAATATGTTTTAAATTTATAAACAAAATCTACATGAAAAAGGTCTTGGGATTGTCTTATGAGAGCGATCTGAAATGGGTCTGAGTTTCTCCAAAAGAAACGGTCGCTGAGAAAGCTTAAAATTCATTTCACTGGTCGATCTTCCACCAAAACAAGAAAGCATCTTGAAATTAATTACTTGTTCAAACGCTAGCCTGAAGTCGAATAATATTGCGACACGTTGATGAACTTCGTTCATTTGAATTGTGTCTTCAGTAGCTGCTGATCCGTTCTTTATTCCGGTCTGTGGGCGAGCTGTCATCATCATGTGGGCTGATATCAGTTTTTGTATTCATTCGTGTATATGTCCTACAGATGACGCTTTCTGGCAGTTTGCATGCCCCTACAGTTGACGATTCTATTGTTTTGTCCATTTTTAATCTTTTTTTGTGTACCGCGCACATTATAACCGTTCGGAATATGTCTGACGCTTGAGAACTTTCGGTAAATCGTCTGGAAATTCGAAGGGGATGCAAACTGGGATTCCGAGCCTATTAGGTAAGTATAATAAAAGGTTCTCCTATTCTAGACTGCGATTTTTTGTAGGCTCTTTGGACGATAAGTTCGAGAAGAACTTCGGAAGTTACTGGAGCATTGGGTGCGCCGCTGCGGCAAATCATCGTTCGAAGAGTATATGTGCTTTTTCGCGATCATTCGTCGCTAATGTTTCATCTGGGAGCTTATTGGAGGTCAGTGGGTCATGATTTTTTTTTTGCAAATATAATTGTAAATGGCTTCTAAGTCGCTGTATTCTCTGATCATTGGTCGTTTGCTCGTTTGCTTTATTAACTTCCCGTTACAGGTAAACGATCTCGTGTTAATCATGTTCTTTTTTCAGAGATAGTCTGCGAAATAAATACTAAACTTAAAGACCCGAAAAGAAAATAGTACATCTAATTTTCTCGTTTTCCTTGAATACTATGCACAACTAAAAGTTCTGTAAAAAATGCGGCTTCTTCGATCTAGAATTGTAATTGTCCATGTTTGAAGAAACATAGATTAATACTGCACTCTTTATATACTTTTTACAAACTTTTTATAAAAGTTTATATTTTTTTCATAATCGTAGAGGTATCTTAAACATTTGGCCCAAAAATTAATAATTAATTAACTACTTCTGATATTATAGGCTCTTTGAGAATTCTTCTTCGAATATATTGAAAAATTCAGTGCTCAACGAAGCCCTACTACCGTACCTTCGTATGAGTGATTTCATAAATTTTTCAAGTTTAGACTTCCTATACTTCAGTGTTTGGAACGCTACGGTGTGAAAACAACAATCCCGATTTATTATTTTTTTTTATAACAAACGACATAGGTCCGAGATCAACAGAATCCTTTTTCTTATAATAAATGTCTTTGATTAGAAGAGTGCTAGGAGTGAATTGATAGCACGAACACCGGGTATTATTGGACTGTTCCCGAAAATCTGGGAAAACAAGACATGATGTAAAACGCATACGTATGTGAAGGTAAACGTTCTGAAAGCAAAGAACAGTGTACACATATTTATACCCAGTAAAAATGATATATTTAAGTATTGCGGATAATAAAGACTATAAATAAGTATACATCACTGAAGTTGCTTGGTTGCTGACCGTGCAGGATTTGAGGCGGGAATTGATTTTAGAGCATTTTTTTTCAAATAAATAAAATAATAAACTATATGTGTCCAGTAACACCGGCATTATCTCCTAAAATAAAGAAATTACTTGGCACAATCAACAAGTTTGAGAGTTATGCAAAAACGATCCTAATTATACTCAAGCGCCTTCATTTCAATAAGTTTTAGACAGGCTACCTTGAACAAAAATGTTATCTATTCATAGAATACTTATGGAATATAAATCAAAACAGCACGATGGAACGAATAAAACGTCGTATCTAGATGGATCAATATTTATTATGAATACGAAGCCATAAATAAATAATAGGTAGCATTCGGGATTTAATCTAAATGTGTACAAAAATAGGATGTCTTGACTCATATGATAGTTCAAGTTGTCCAGTGATGTCACGTATCAGGTTTTAAAATGAAGTTCATTATCGAAATAGTCGAAGATCGAACGTTGAAGCCTATTCGTACGACCAACCGAATGTGAAGCTGTGACTTCGTAAGCAGAATTTAGAATTGCTACGAATAAAACTATATCATTCAATGGACTTACAATCCATTAAAACAAAGTGACCCTAATCATAGGGTTGGAATGTAACTTGCGATGTATCTAAACTTTAATTTTGTAAAAAAAAAACACGTTCCCTGCAGCTCTATGGCAATGATGTTTTTTAGTTATGTCTCGACCCCGGGGTCCTACGCCCGGTCGACTTGCGGTAACAGGCCAACTGTGTACAATAGAGAGGCTAAGCAAAAGCAGAAAGTTATTCCATTTTCTTTGTCTTTTTGCTTTCTCAGTGGAATGGATGCTATGGTCAGGCATAGCTGTTGGAGCCCAGTGCGGAAACAGTGTTGTTGTCGTCGTCGTCTATCCAGCGAAAAATATCTTAAGAAACCATGTTGGCATTGTTCTAGGATAGATAGGAGGATAATATCGTATATAACGAGTTAGCTAAGCCTCGTAAGCCTAGTAGGTAGATTACCTGATAGTTCTAATAATATCTAAAAAATTATATCACCTTCAAGAACTAAATAATTAATTTATTATTAGATTCGGCTTTTATTGTTAAAATAATTACCTTTTTTTTTTTTCAAAGGGATTTTTGATGATATAAGGTATTTCGCTTTAAATTGGATCAAACTTGGCTTTAATTGTTTTATATTTTCTCAAACAATTCAGTTGTCATGGAATTTTTGGATTTAGTAATACAGATATGCATTTTTTCAAGAATTGCTTTTTGTTTTACTTCTCGTACTGCTCGACACGATGGTCGACATAAACTGTATAATTATGAATCCAATATACTAGCTTATGTAAATGAACTTGAATAGCGAACTTTATGTATTATATATATATATATCCTTCAAAAAAAAACATCCTATCGTCTTGATTATAAAATATTCTACAATAGAATTATTCCTAAATAAAAACATACTGTCTGAGATTACAACAATAGCTTCATTAACATAAAAACCAGGACCGAGCGGTTATCACCATTCTATATATGTATTAAATTCATTCATTATATATATAAACGAATACATCCACTACCAGTGGCTATGAACATCCAGGCTCAAGCACTCATTTATTTTCTTCTATACTGCACATTTTTTACTTAAACTGATTTCGACTATCTGAACTTGAATCCCTGCTTCGTTGCAGGTCTTTTCTGTATTCTATTACTGAGTATTTTATCTATTTATTAACAACTCTTTGGTGCCTTCTGTATGGAAAAGTCTTTTTCAATATATTGTCTTTTCATCTACTAAACACTTTTTATGTTTCTTCAAATAAACTTATGCCGAAATAATTTATTTTATTACAGTTTTTAAACGGGCAGCGCGTAGACCAACTAATATCTCGTTTATGGCAGTGATATGAGCCTGTGAATTTTCTCGCTAATGATTATGATTGGTTAGGTAAAAATGTTTTAAGAGTATGCCAAACGTCTTTCTATCTTTCCAAACTCAGTTCGTGAAGAGCTTTTTATGGACTTCTTTGTTAGCTGCTGCTGCTGCTGCTGCTACACTTTTTACCATGAAGCACATGCGCATTTAGATCTCGCAATGAACATTGATATTATTACACTTTTTTTTGTAAATAACCATACGGGCACAGTCTTTTTAAGATCATAAATTCAACAGTATTTTTATGCAATGAAACGAATAATGTATACTATTATCTTCCATTATGTGTGTTGTCATTGTGTGTGTGTGTGGTGTTCGTTTACCCCCTCATGGGGTTCTTGTCTTTGCATCACTAGAGATTGGCCCAGTCGATTAGAGTTACGATCGCTGAAACGTAGGCCAAAAGCCTACTCGAGCTATTACATCAGTGATCACCTCACTGCTGTTTTGGTTTGATAATTGAAAAAAAAAAAAAAAAAAAAAGACCCTTACTATCAAAACAAAAAGCACGCTCTACAGAACATGCTTGAATGCATGTGGCCTAACCTACAACCTCCACTTACCTACGAACCTCTTTCTTTTTGTGCGCACACAGAGAAGGAGGACAGTTGTCTTTCCACTGCGTCCTCTCCACGAACGCCTCGCCTCCGATGGGGCCTAACAGCTAGGCCTGCTTTAGTTGGACTAACCCTCTGCGAGGGGGTGTATCACACCATGCCTCTGTACGTAGTTGTACATAAGTCTCGTGCACATAGTTTACGGATATACACATTGACGGTGGTCATAACTTAAGACGATGTTTACGTGGTGCGATTGTTCCAGCACAACTGAGTGAATATGAAACACGCCAAGTTGACTGAGGCTGAGGTAACAGCGAGAAACCTGTGTTGCTGTCGCTGTCACCATATAAAAATGGATACACCACCGTAACGGAGCTACTTGCTCGAAGTTTCCTTGCCTTTTGAGGGCCAGCTTGAAAATGACGTGAGCTGTTTGAAGCTATTTTATTATTTTCTTAGTTGCAACGTTTTCTCCCTTGAGTTTGATTCAGAATCAGCCGGCAAACTGCACGCGGCATCGTACACAGAAAGTGGAGATATTACCAGCCAGAAACAAGTAGATGTCATAGGTGGTTCTACGAAGCATAAAAGGCGTCATACATAACCCATTGAAGAATGCCGTACTAGCTGAGCTAGACTTAGCATAGTGGAATATCCCTCAACGAATCCGTCCAGAACTCCCGTCCCCGGGCCTCAGTTTGAAGCTAAGCTAATCGCTATTATGCTACCGGCAGTAAATGGAAAAAGGACGCACTAGCCATTTGGTGACAAAATGTCCTCAGCTGAACAATTGTAGACCTTAAACCACAGATTCGCAAGTAACACTGCAGCAACTGACTCACCATTGTATTGTATGTACAAATACATACACGATTTTCATCTTTTCTCGTCCACGTTACCATTACTATTGTTATAATATCCTTATTATTATTATAATACATATACATATAATATACATTTATATGTATGTCTATCTGAGACCGTCCAGACAAGTCTCCGCCCATATCAGCAGTCCGTCCATATCAACAGAATTCAACTCACTGCTTAGCGAGAGACTTACTCCGTGGCTGACAGCAAATATAGAGGAAGACGAAAAGGATCCTTCAAAGTAAGAAGAATCGCTAAGTCCGTTCTTGCATCGGCTTCTGGCTTCGTTCCGTGTTGAGCGGAGTCGTGCAAAGAATAAAGCGAAGTCAACCACAGGAAAACTGGAGCAGAATTTGAAATGAATGGGTTCGCAAGCGAAGCTATAGAAAGAATCCTCTTTGAGAAGATGAGGAAGGCTGTGAATGACGACACGAAGACGATCTCATACATGATGGAAATGAAAAAAGAGTTATAAATAGAAGGGATCGTACAAGGAAAGAAATAGAGAACGAGCCAGAGGCAGAGAGGACGGCCGACTGTCGGCTCCTATACAAACGTAGGTATCTGTACATGGAGATGCAATGGGGGAAAACGTCGTCTTTGTTTTCCAGCAAGCATCGTTCATATTGTATGGGGAATAGCGCTGCCTCTTACGGTATACATGTTGCAAGAATAAGGAGGTAGCTTGAACTGCATGAAGCAGCAAGCGGTCATAATAGAACATATATAGATGGGTGAACGAGTTTTAAGGTTCTAAGCGACCATTGTGGCAGTACTCATTTAACTGAACGTTTTACGAAGACGCAGAATACAAACAGCAAACAAATTCAGAATAAGGAAAAGAACTCAGGTTAAAATTAAAAAAAAAAATAATTCGAGATAGGAATATCGAAGCACTCTGTGTTGGATAAAGCAAGTACGTTATTCTATAAGACTGCGTTCTTGAGGTGCGTCCAACTTTGCCATGTTACTTGGAGACTGTTCTCTCTAATCGGCTTAAAGAAACGCTACAACACGCCTACACATTGCCGCCAATATAAAGGAGCCGGTAGTGGTGTGCCGCGACCTAGACAGTGCGGATTAGCGGGAGATCCCTCGAATGGAAAGGAGCTCAAAGCTCCGGGGGGCTGTCGGAGGCCAATAACACCAACTGCTCCGTAGTCCATTATAAATTCGGCTATTCTCGACTTTAGCCACTTCAGACAAGTTCCAAATACGAAGCAGATCAGGCTGACAGACCTTATTGTAAACTCACCAACGATCTTTTGCACTGGTATGGCTACGATCAACTAGTGGTGACCATTGCACCATTCGCGTTTCTCGAGTGCTTGTGTCAGGGGAAATCCTGCTTCTCCAATTGAGCTCCACTTGGTTGAACACACGCGTTCGTCCTCAGATCAATGGGCGGTGTTATTCTGTAACTGTGTGCACAGGTTGCTTGAGTGCTACGCCAGCCCACACAACGAACGAATCTAACTTCCCCCTGTTCTCTTCCTGAATCACTACGCTGGGTGGAGCGCCGGGCGAGAGCACTTCGGATTCCTCTAGACCTTTTGGGATTTATAGACCCGCGCTAATTCACAGACATACACGCACACCTGTTGATACCAAACGGCGTTCAACAGTCACTTCCCGTATCGTTTTAGCGTGTTCTGCAGGATTTTTCATACGCATTTTAAATTTACTATTTTAGCCTCCATTTTTTGGGGTAGAATCCAGTGCAAAGCAGCAAGTAAAAGAAACGCTTGAACGTGCTTTAAGGTGCCTGTTTCGAAATGAGTTCTTGTTGGATCAAACTGTGCTTGTTGTTTTTATATCTGGTTGGAGTGATGCTACTGTCAGTCGCCATCGACGTGGTTCGACTTTATCAGTGTAGTTGGATTGCTTGTCATGCTGCTGCGACGAACCTATCAGGAACTTCGGTCCGAAATGATATTAACCATTTAGATGTGGGTACACTCGAAGAGATCCTTCGTCAGAGAGGAATGCAACTGCCTCAGTCGCAAGATCTGCTAGCTACCTATCACTCCCACCATCAGCATCCACAACGAAATCATTTACGTCATCACAACGATACGAAAAATTATGTACATGAAACTGGCTTACATATAGGAGCGGATCGAGAGTCAAGAAAACGAGGCCATGCAGTCTATCTAAATCCATTCAGTAGTCGAGTAGTCACTTCTTCCTATAAGGACACACTAGTACACCTCGTACAAAAGACAGGTTGGTATGAAATTAAGCCTTAGCTTACTTATAATGACTACCATAATTTTATTTACTTAATTACAAAATGTTTGTCTAGTATCTGGTTCCTATATAACGTGGCCTTGAGCAACAGAATTAAACTAGACTAGGGAATCACTGCTGATCGAAGTGAGTACCTAAACCCTATCATAAAGAAGAAGGCATCGTCTTATAGACGGATTTAGCCCAGTTTTCCCAAAATAAACACTTGAGAAGTCTTTCTTCCGGACAGTTCGTTTATTTAAATATGTTCATTTATTGATATCCTAATTTCTGTGTTTTAATGAGATTTTTTTGTCTTAGGAGCAGCCTTCATTAGCATTCACTAAAATGGCGGCCGTTTCCAAATATTAAGCTGGCTAATTCAAGTTAAGCTAAGAGTTTGTTTGAATAATCAACTAGGCAACGATTTTTTTTTTTTTTTTTTTTTTTTTTTAGATTTTCAGTAGTCATTTCTTTGACAGACGAAACTGTGGAACGCAAATGCTGTTGGCTATAAATCGTCAGGGGCAAAGACAGAAACTTAGCGTTCTATTCGACTGCGGGATGCCTAGGAGGCTACTACGTTGGCCTCATTTGCAGCCAATTTGATTTTTGGAAACTAATGTAAAATGCGGTTTTGACAACTGGATCTCTATCTAAAAAGAACTAGTAGAAGTAACTTCGGTAAATTTAACTGGAATTGGACCGGTCATGGTGCACGACTTTAACCTTTCGGGAGTTATTTGATTTAGTAACTGAGCAGTATGAGCTATGAGCTTGACCTGGAGTATCAGATTAGCGAGTTGTGAGTAATACACTGATGATTAGTCGGCCACTTTAGATACGGCAGTTGTCTGGAAAAAGCTGCCACATAAAAAAGGTTATAACCTGTGAGGTTTATATTATCAACTCACGAGACTAACAATGCTTTCCGGGCAAAAGTAATTTCGACAGTCAGCAATATTGAATATGTAAAGAACTTACAGATTATGGATGGAGAGCAACATACCACCGAAGGAAAAGACGAAATGCTGCCAACACACATATAGATTTTGTAGTTCCGAAATCGAGCGTCCACTTTACGCTTCCGTGGTAAAATACAGAGAAGCGTAAGAGCCGGAAGTTGTGAGGCCATTTAGGTCGAAGATCAATTAAGGACCAAGAACCTTCTCAGGTTTCGGTTTGTATGATTAATCGTTCAGCATCTAACAAGAATTATTCGATTTTGCTATTATTCTTCGTTGCGTTTTTTAGGAGCAGTTCATGTAGACGAGGTGTTGGACATACACAGTTCGACAAAACCAGAAACAGCGTTATTGGAGCAGAAAACAGATGACGGCTTCGCCGGCAAATCCCTTCGTTCGGGGTCTGATCTAGAACAGCTAGTAATGGAAAGGGTAAATGACATCGGCTCAAGTTTGTGTCTCTTGATTTTAATTCGACTTAGAGGAGGCGTAACTCTCCTTGAAACTAGTTCGTGGCGAGAACTTGTCCACGCCGTCACTCGATTCGGAATACAAGCTGCCGTTTTTGATTGTGCCTCAGATCCCGCGTAAGTAAATATTTAAAATAAATACCTAATAATCTATCTTAAAAATTTCTGTAGAATACATGATAATATGTGAACGCGATTGCGTAATTCTGCCAAATTTGTTCTATCTATTACCCTTAAATATGTACTCTATAGTTTAATTTCTGAATTTGGATTTTTCTCAAGTACATATAAAGCAAGATTTCAAAATACACCGATTTTCATTACAACCATTTAGAATCAGATAAACGTCTTAAAAAAGTAGCCCGTTTTTTGCGGTGTGGCGTGCTACCTTGTTGGTAACATTTGAAATAGCTCCATGATCTATCCATGAGTGAAAAAAGCCACTGCATCTAATGCTCATCCCAGAAGTTACATCTTCAACTTACACACTAGAAAAAGTGAACAGGGGTGTCCAAGGGTTCTTGCAAACGGTGGCAATGAACAGCTAGTAAGGTTAAAATGCATATTAATTCGACTGGGCAAAAAACAAGATAATGTTTTGAATTTTACATCCGATACTGCCGTTAAGCACTGTTTCAGAAGGCCGGCTTTCAGCACGAATAACGTGTCTACGTCTAGTTTCAAACTTAACCGCCACATGTCTGTAAGTTTGGTAGGCAAACACGTTACCACTACACTATCAAGAGGACCAGAAGAACCTACTAATATAGTAAAACCCACTACAGTTCCTGCGGTTTTCCGCTACCCGTTTCATCATGTCCTGTATCATTTTCCTAGCTCTATAATTAAAGGGATAATTACCGCTGTATACAGTTTTCCTTCAACTTCTTCTAAAAAAAGCCTCGCGATTTTTTTTTTTTGAGTATTTACGTTACCAATTCGAGCGGGTCTAAAACACCTCATTCGGGGTCCCAAGTTCCGTTTTTGAGCCTAGCAGAATCAGGTCGACTGGTCTTTTTCGGACTAGGATCGACCTTAGTTACGGCCCAAATGCCTATATCAAGCTGTTAATGCATAATTAGTAACTCAGCTGGTGTCGTACTAGATACACTCAGGGTCTGCTAAATTCGTTTACTCGCTCTGAATCTTTCGGTTACACTGTTTAAAGCCGTAAAGATTTTTCGGTGAAAGGGCTTACCAAAAATTTTTTCATTGGCTTTATCTGGCTAGCGTTGTTTGCATTTAAGATAAAGGATGGATTTCTCAGATTTATTGTTTGCTCCTCAATCTTACGGACCATACAGGTTAAGGTCGCATCCAGAAGCGCTCACCAGAGATTCACCGAGACTATACATGTTCAGGAACTGGGATGAAGGAGATAAAAAGTTTAGAGGGTACCATACGTGTCGACTAGAGTCTTCTTCCGCAGTAGATTTTGTCGGACAGAGTGTTGTTTCATAAACAAGGTCTATGGATGACGGCTGCACCTGTGCTTCTAAAAAGACTATGATTCCTTCTGCAACGGGCGTACAGCAAGAGATCCCTGCAGTTCTTTTCTATCTTGTCTCTTTGTTCTACTGTACGGACGAAAGCACAAAAAGCTGGGACCTTTACATAGTGCTGCGAGGCATCCCCACGATCCTAACTTTAACGAATCAGCAATGACTCAGCTTAACCCCACGAAAGGTAAAGCCTTCACACGCCAGTTTTTCTCCTAGGAAGCTGAACATACCGAGATTGAATACGTCAGACTCCTTTGACCGAATTACTAAGCCACTAAAACCACAACCAAAACATTTACCTCATTAAAAGCTCCCTCAAGGGGAAGCGGCCTTCGCCAGTGCTTGTCCCATGAATTAAGCGAATCAATTGGATCTCTCAATGTCTACGTTTAATGGGTTACCCATAGGCACCTGTTTTTTTACGGTCCACATCGTTGGCTGCAGAAATCCAGCATCTGTTTAGAAAATGTGGTGCTCTTCTCGTTTCGAGCGGTTTCCTACAACGAGCTCATAATGGGAACGCTTGCAGACTATTTTTTTTGATAATTCTTGATGACTTGCGTTGTTTGAATTTCGTTATACCAGAAAATGGCATGTATTCTCCTATAGATGTGGACGATGACGGAGGTTCTGTCAGAGTACATAATGCCTATGTAGGTATATCGTTTGCGAAGAATAAAGTTGACAAAAGCGGTTAGTTCAAACTTGTAATAAAGCTACTAAATGAGTAAACAATCTTGTGTAAGCATCCCCGTGACTTAACGATATTGATTGAACTTACTAGGCGACATACATTTCGTACTGTCTAATAAACACATTGAGTTCCATGGCCGAAACCGCTGTAGTTTTACATCCAGCGACTTACCTCTTACTTATGGCTATGATTTCGTGCTCTCTACAACACGATCTGTTTAATGCCAGTAATCGGATGTTTCGTGTTAAGGAAATTTAACATAAGGCTAAACGGATGACAAGTTGGCGGGGTGCGATTAAGGCCATACAATAGGTAAGGCAGAATATACCGGCCGAAGTCGATATCGAAAACACTGAAACAAGAGTAACCTAATCGATCGAAGGTTAAACTATACTTGTTCTACTCATCATTAGCCACCAATTATTTTTCGCTTAAGTTCATGCAAAGATTACGGTTTTGCATCTATCCATGGTCACGATCGTATGCAAAAAAAACAATCTGTTTTAGGAACCTTCCATTTTCCTTGCAATACAACGCCACAACTGCCACTCAATAGCGAGTGGCCACAACTTCACTGCAAAACGAATTAGTATATATCGCATCATAAAAGCGCCGCGTTAAGTGCAGAAACTACGTCCAGATGACTAACCCACATTCAAGCTATGTTATAAAGCTCTTCGAATCTGGTGCCTCTGTGCCCAACTTTACGAAACCGTTTCATTTTACTGTTAATTAAGTCAGAATACGAATAAGAAATATTGATTTCTCGAATGTATTGCCGATAGCAATATTTTCCACTGCTAAACATAACCTGCTGGCAGGAGATGTTGTGCAGATTATATTTCGGCCACATTTAAAAAGAAAATTAAAGCAAGGGGATAAATCGTGAAGGTGAGGATCTCATTTATACTTGCCAACGTCTATTCTTTCTTCACTGCATGTTTTGTAACTGAGGGCAGCTCATAATAACAGAGTTTTATGTACGTCTTCATCGAAAGCGAACTGAGAGAATATAGTGGCTATCAGATGGTCTGGTTCCGTCCATATTAATTTTTTCTCGCTGGTGAAATCAAAAGGTACCTTGCCGCAATGCGTACACATTCAAGAAAATAAAGTGATTTTCGTTGCCCCGCCCTATAAAATGGTAAGGTGAGCTTTCCGCATTCTCATAACTGCTAGCACCATAAATTTATTGTTCATCTATGATAGAATCTACCTTGTGGTACTTAGAGACGTCTTAAATCTACAATACAAGTTCGAATACTGAAAGATACGTTTCACGTGAGTCCAAGCAATAATTTCTATTTTGTTGAAGCGGACACTTTGCCCCTTCAATAACCTAATCCGGCAGCTTTTTTTTATTTTCAGCCAGTTGTCTAGGCTATAAGCAGACAAAATTTACAGTGGTGACCTGTCGCATTTGATCTTTTAGATATATCGTTTATAATTCATCTTGCTCTTGTTAGGGTTACTATTGTTTCTGCAAGATGGGTTACCCAACCGCTTTTCATCCAAATATAAACAGTAGTAGCAGATGTGTTGTTATGCAATGGCACCAGCATCAAATCGGATTATTATGTAACCATAGGTACAATATGTATTCCTGTTCAGAGCTTGAGACCAGAAATGACAGCGTTTCGATTTTAGACCGTTAGTGGCCTCAACAGATCACGTCGGGTCGTAAAACAAGACCTAAATCAAAACTTCTGTAGAGCGACATTTCTTTTTTCGTAGGACTTGTGAACGGAGAAACTGGATTGTACCTCAACTTGTGCTGGCTTTCCCTAGAAATCAAACGCCTACACACGTGAATAGAAGTACTACACAGAAAGCAACAGCATTGAAAGAGATGGCGTGGCACAGCTTGTATAATCTCCATAAGACGCGTCAGGTGATTGGATGGATTGCTAAACAACTAGCCAGCAAAGTCCAACGCGTTTACCAGGGTACTTATACCTATAGATTATACTTATATATTAATTAGTACGTTTATATATGATTGATTTAAAAAAAAAAAAACGTATTGTAGATTATATTTAAGTCAATTGATTGTATTTTTTCATGCAGCCGACTTATTGTCCTGGAAACGGTTTCCTCAATCTGGCAGAGGATCATCAAAGGCAAAATTGAAATTGCTACTCGTGTCTGATATTAATCAGACTCCGGTTCTTCTTTCAGCAATTGCTCTGCGGTTTCGAGGTGAGTATGATAGCGGGTAACACAGCTGTCTAATACGTGTGACCAACAGGAGCGTACGCAACAGGATAGGACCGATAACAACTGTCTCGGTCTTAAAGCGTACGTCTAGAATGAATTAACAGTTTTGTATTCTATTCGTGCTCTTGGAAATGTCTTTTTCTATTAACTACAGTTACTTGGCCATAACGTTTGGCGATCGTTGCCGCGATGCAGATCGACCCTGAACTTCTTCAGGCATCGTCAAAGGATAACGATTCCAATCCCATTGGTTGATTCCCAGAAATAGACAAATGTTTTGAGCCTACGTTCTGTTCTGCCCTTTAAGCATTGCCCCAGATTTTAAGCCCAGACCATCTCACATTTGCCTAGGTTCATGAGATAAACGTGTTACCACTGCATCATCGCGAAATAAAAGAAGACGGCATAGCCTTTAATCCATCTGTATCACTGAGTATGAGCTGTCGTGTCTGCCAGTTTCATATGAACTACCTTAACGCAGTGTATTATATGTCCTGTCCCATTTGTTACACTGAATTTTGTTCTTGCTAATTGCTAGTTAAAAGCTAATGTGGTGCATTGTTTCTAATAAACAAGGAAACAATCCATTTATTACAGATCGCATTGACGTTGGGATAATCGACCCGGATCTAGCAAGTCTAAATGCTACATTTCTGCCGGAAGAAACTGTAGATCGGTCAACGGCCACATACTTAATTTTGACCCCTGGCAGTTCATCATTGAGTCCTTGTTCTGTTTATGTGTATGGAGCAGAGCGTGGTGAAGCTTTGAATTTTCGACGACTGGAAATATTTTTAAAGTTCAGACTACCTGAGGGCCAGGATCTATTTGCTCTTAGTTTAACATTGGTTAATCTATTGCTATGTATTGAACTATTTATTATTGAATCATCGTGTTGCGCAAAACACGTGATCTCATGGCTTTGGCGTGTGGCCAAGTACAACGCAACCATGGTTGCGCTATGGCTTGTAGCAGTGGCTCTCGCGCAGATTAAATTCAAATGGATTGATTGGTTAGCAGACCGAGCCCTATCTGTCATTGTTCAGGGGTACTTCTGCGATTCGAATGTCGGCCACCTTCTCGTTGCTCATTGGCCTTTCGTAAGTTCTATTCGAATGCTCGCCGTGAGTGTGTTCTTCTTTGGTAGCGCGGTAGGACTTTTCTCTTGGCGTTCCATTGGTCTGGTTCCTCCGGGACAAATACAACGAAGACAAAGCCATGAAACAAATAGACCTCAACCAGATCCACCTGCAAGACCACTACTCCAGGAATCCCCCTATCCTCGGCCCCGAACACGTCTATCCTGGATCGAGCGTAGCAATCAACACTCTGTGGTCCTCATCAATCAATTTCTCTGGCCCCTACAGCCGACGACCATTCAGCGTTTAGCACAGAATTCTCATACGTCAATGCCGACGGGCCAGAGCAACCTTAACGATAACCTCCTGCACTGTCCACTTGCGGCGCTAGATTACATTAACCATCTGCCAAGATGGCGTTTCACCTATGATAGCTCCATTGCTAATCGCATCGTACAGCTCAGTGAAGGTATGAATTTGTTCATCTAGCTAATATGAGCGCCCTTTCTGTGTACGCAGCCCAGTGAGTAAACCCAGTAGAATACCAATGACGGCAACCAACATCTGTGAACCATTGACAACAATCCTGCATGTCTATAGGCTACCAATATATACGATTAAGAGCATGTAAACGATCTTTTACTTAGCCTGCACTAACTGCTAGGTACGACTATTCTATGTTCCTATATATATGATATAAAATCACTGTTTGTTTTCTAGCATCCTCAGATGAGAAGTTTGAAACAGCACTGCTCGAATATACGAAATTTCCGGCTGGTATGATACCTTCCCTAGTGTGCAGCATTTGCCTTGAGCGGTACCGTGGTGCTACCTTGTCTGTGCAAGAAAAACGGCCAGAAAATTTAAAAACAGTAGATGAAAAAACTACTGATGGCCAACAGATACAGCGCATCACTGAATCTGAAGGGGATACTCTTTGTGGACTACCATGCGGTCATAATTTTCACGCTCATTGCGTCCGAGCGTGGCTTGCGAGGGACCAATATGCATCGTGTCCTATATGCAGGTTAGCTAGACACGGACGGTATATATCAATTGATGAGATAACTTTCTCCAGGTTGATGTAGAGGTTGTTTAATATTATACAGCACTTATGTCTATATTATTAAATTTCAGGTGGCCGTGTTATAAACAAAAAGAGCAATCGCCTAAAAAAAGTCCTGACTCTTGTGGTGAATGGGACTTAGGCTCCCCTGTTTAGCTACAGGTCTAACATATCAATTGGCTACCTGTCCAATCGACGTAGGCTTAACGAGCCTATTCGCAGTACCTGCAAAACGCGGACTTCGATGGTCAACATGGGGTTTATGGGACAAACGTTTGTCAAGAGAAGAATCAAGCCACGATTGCCGAAAATATAGTCCTATAGTTAATAATAAATGTCAGAAATACCCCGGGACGTCTTTAACAATGGACTAATGGAGTTGTGTTGAAATATAGTCATTCACAGGTAGTTTATTTATCTCTCTCTTTATCAGTGTTTTTCTTGTATTTAACTAGGTATAGTAGACAACACGCAGGATCCAAATGTTCATGCAGCCAAAATGCTATTTGCGTTTGCTATGGGTGTTGATATATTGTTGAATAAATACCTTTTTTAAAATACAGTGCTAACTTATTCAGAGGTAGTTGTTTGTCAGAAATGTGTGGCGTTAAAGCCTCGGTATAGTTGACAGATTACAGAAGGCACTGGAAGTAGCCTGGATTACTTAGGGAAGTTTCTCCTTAGCCCTTTACTTAAATTTTTTTATAAATCTGTGAGAAATTAGAAGACAAATACTTGAACAGGCAAAGAATATTTCGTAGCTAAGTTTACACATGCGCAATGGAAGTGATTCAGACAATGAAGTGAGCTATGGAGCTTCAACACCACCAAGCCTGTCGAGCGAAAGTCAGTGCCGTAATACATTTACATAACTGTCGGACGGTTAAGGGCGTGCCACTTGAATGATGATATATGTATATATGATAAACGTTGGCGTATTAGTAATGATCGTTGAATGCAACGCACGTAGATCGCCAATAGATCAAGCAGACACCTTGTGTTCAGACATGGCCAACCAACCAGCCATCCAGCCAGCCAAACAGAAAATGCAAGACGCGGAATCGAACGACCCGTACACAGAGATACACAGATCTGGTCTAAGGGGTGGCTGTCAGCCATGGTCACTGACCATGATGTATAATAATTCCATCATCATTTCGCCGGCTAGAGCTACATTATTACATTAATCACATCCCGATGATGAAGAACAAGACAAGAACAGTGAAAGGCGAAAGGGAGGGCGGAAACGAGAGTAAGGCGGTGGCATAGACATAGGGGCAATTAGTGGGGCCGAGCTGGAAGGGTCCGCGCAATTGACACCAGAGGTATAGATTCGATCGTTAGCTAAGATGGCTGACACTTCACAATGTCTCTTGGCCCGTATATACATGGATCCGTGAAACATTTTTGATGTCTTCCCTGCTCGTTATTTTAAATTGTAAAAAACTGAGGCCCCCGAGTGAAAATAAGCAAAAGACCTAGATTCTGTTAGGTTTTCTCGATTAATTCGCTACGAATAAACGTAGTCAACGGTAAATATTACTACTATTGTATAACCACTCTAGCGGATTGTTTTTATATTGTACAACTTGTTATACCATACTCTTTAAATCGCTGTTAGTAATTTTATGATATACAGTCCAATATTTTGTTTCCGACAAGGCTATCCATTGAGATCTTTAGTAGGTAATGCTAAACAAGGGTATCAAAGAAATGCTTTATTTAGCTTTATGATATAGCCTTTTTTTATGGTGGGAAAAAATCCAGATAATAAGGTTTTAGTGTTGAGAGGCTGAATTTCAGCAAGAACTTTGTTTCCAAAAAAGGATCAAGACGTGCAGATGACACACTAATTGAATTCTCTGTTTCAGTGCGTGGTTTGAGGTGAAAAAAGAGGAAGCCCATCTTTCACACAAACTCAACCTCAACAGTTGTAAAGTTGAAGATTGGCGTTCTTAGCGCAGCGAGGTTCCTTAATATATCCTGTTTAGCATTACAAGCATTATTTCGCCTGTTACGTTATAAAACAGAAGACGACTGGTGTTATAACCACTAGAATACTCGATGTACAGACAACTGAGTGAACTTTTCTCAGAATTTTATTCAGCACTTCTTCCTAAAAATTAACGTATTTGATGCTTTCTTTTCTAAAATGCAGCTCGACTAGTTCATCTTACATTTCAAGTATGCTTCCTGATGTAAAATACATTTTACTATGTCTTTAAAACGTATTTATTTTTCTGTACATATAGATTTCCGTAGAATAGGAAAATCGTTCGAGTTTCTTCGTCAGATATAGCCAAGCTTCAATGAACAACACCTAGACGAAGTGCTATATAGCATACTGTGTTTCCATATGAATCCTCAGCTGATATTCATAAAAATATTGGTTAACTGCGTCGAAAAGGCGTGGACCCGCGTAGATATAGATATGTGACTTGCTCGAGGTGGCTGAAAGGCATGAGAGGATGCTTGCTCATTTCCGCAGAGAGATTCGGTCGGACTGCCAAGTGTCTCGCCGATCTGTTTCATACACTCATTCAGATATAGTTTGTTCAGGATTCCTCTATACAAATGATATGCTATTTAGGGTGATTCTCTACAGATTTACGATGTGTGATATACAATCGACACATTTATTTTATGACCACACCCTTATCATAGGGCACTAAAATGAACACGAATAAATTCAAATCAAGTTAACTGAAATGAAATTAAATATCTTTAGTGTTTCGAAGTTTTTTTGTTGTTAAACAAGCTCATTTGTAATATGCATAAGCATTTAGGTAAAAAAAAAAAAAAGAAACAAAAAAAAATGACTCAACTTTGAATGTGCCAGCTCTAGTAGTAGTAGTAGTAAGAGTGAAGTTCGTTTAAGCTGCACAAGCTAACTGCGAATCAAACCTAGCCAATGAGTGATCGAAGGCTAGAGGATCGACACATATTTATGAGGCTTACACTTGAATAATATTAGAAAAAGAAGGAGTCGAGCTGAAGGACCTGATGCCGGTGGCCATGGCTAAGCTGGTCCGGAAAGAAAAAGGCCCGATAGGAAATACCAACTAAAGAAACGTCTCTGAACAGGATGGCGTCCCCGCACCAGTGGCCAAAACTGTGTTCAGCGGGTTCCCGAACGTAGTCTCGGCAGTGACTATTAACGCCGTGCAAAAACGCCGACTGCCGGATCAAGGCGTTATTTTAATCGAGGAAAGGCTGCAGGGACTCACTGTGCGCAGAGCGAATTCCGAAGGAGCTGGCCAGTCTATACAAACATACGCTGAGAAATAGCTGAGGCAAAGGTAAACCACAGTTTAGCGCCAAAGACCAAAAAGTTGCCTCTTCTGTGGGATACCATATATGGGAATAGTTCACATAAGCAGAAACTCCGAAGGGTATAGAGTTCGCGCCCCGACAGGAGGTTTGCAGCTCACAGTACAGACAAAGACAGAAGTTAAACTCAATGCTAACAAAACACTAGAGGCTATCCTGAAATGGATCCTTCCAATTGAATTCACATAAGAATTCTTTTTTTTTTTTTTTTTTTTTTGGGAAAACCCGAGGCTCTTTTCAAATCCGACGAAGACAAGTACAGCCGTTAATTCTCGTGCTAACAAGCAGTAAGATTGGAATGCCCGTACGTGCAACACACCTTAACATATGGAATCTATAGGGAACCTACCTTCCGAACCCTAGTGTGATTCATATCCTCTAGAAAAACGAATACAATAAAGAGACTTTAAGAAAGACTCAGTGATTAGAAGTGCTGAGATTTATACAGGAGTCAAACGATCCTAACTTTAAGAAAAGCAGTAACTGTAAAAACGTAATCCTCATAGCTCAGAAGAAGTTAAGTGGAAGACAACGATCAAAGTCTAGTAGGCAGAATAAACTGTCATTCCTGTCGGGATTTTGGCTGAGTGAGCTTATTGCTGAAATTAACTGAAGACTAGAAGAACACAGGCTACCTCTTTACGCAGATCATTATGATCTAAAAGAGCCTGTGGTTGGTGCCTGCACCTACGGTAATCAAGGTATTGAGGATGGCGCTGCACCATTGTTAGGCATCTTGTTGTGAAGAAAACCTAAATTCGCTGTCAAGCTATGTACCTATCGGTTGACAGAATGATTTCACGTCGTTCGGTTTTGTCCCCTTCCAAAGTGAGAGATTTTAAGAATAAAGGACGTAGCGGTGGGTATATTTCTTGGTGCCGCTAATGCTTTCGACCAGATGACCACACACTATCCATGTCAGTAATCTCTCTCAATGGTTACCGAAGTAAGCGGTCAGCTTAAATGGTTATTTATAGAATTTTTCAAATTGCTTTACGCCAGTGCACTTTGAGACCAATTCTCTTTCTATGTTTAATTGATGTTAGCTCGCTTTTCAGACTGCTAGCCGCATAACACTTTCAGGCAACGTAGATATATCTGCCATATAAATAAACACTCAAGCGTAACCAATAAGGATAAATTCTTTTTTTTCTATAGAAGACTTGGCTTATTCACGGTATCCGTGTAATCTTTTTAAAAAAAATCTTGTAAAGTAAGAACTTTTGGCGTCATTATGATCTTTTTGATATATTTCGAATCTACATATCTAAAGACTTCCAAGCAGCCGAAAAGTGCGGTCTAACCTTTAAGTTTTAGAGAATCAATGGTCTGCTTACTGTTCTAAGCTTGCGAGATTAATTGAAACCTGTCTATAATAATCAGCTACTCTTTAATTGGGATTCTAATCCTGGACCTCTTAAAAATATTAATTTGTAAAAGGCTATACAAAAAAAAAATAAAGGTTTATATGCTTAATATGATATATAATAATAATTAAGGGGTATGTTTTAGGAGCTTATGGCGATTCGACATTTGAAGTGAACTTACGGCTGCAACAGCGCGTTACTGGCTCCTTAAAATGTCAAATCTATACTCAACTGCCATTTCTTTAAGGTGTAAAACTGGAACGTTAGAGAAAAGCTTCCATTTATTTTTGCCTAAGTCTAGCTAAATGGTGCAAACGATGTGTTTGGAGACAATCAGATTCAAATAAAAAAAATCCAACACTCTTTATGGATGTTGTAAAAAACATGGGCATGACATTTTCAACGTAGCAATTAACAATACAGAAGGTTTTCAAGTCTAAGAGGTTCGACATAAAGCAAAACAATGTTTGGTCGGGCGAAATAGTGGCAAAACAGTAGTAGTGTGAGAAAACAACGGCAAATGCTCATTAAATCGGTCGGTAGAATCGACATGCCCGCTTTCCGTGCTGAAGCCGACTTTCCGGATAAAACCCTCTATAACTGCCCAGCGTTATCAGTATGCTAAAAAAAAAACCAATTTTCAAATACCAGGTTGATGCAGAATAACAGTGACGACTATCGATCTGAACGGAGCCAAAGCAGCGTTGAGATACAAGTACGATATATTGCCGTACCTACCGCGATCGTGTAATATAAACACCACCTGGGCCAACTTTAACCAGATACATCTAAGCAGCGCCAAAAGACGTTTACCGATTGTGGGTTTGGTTGAAGGAGAAAGCTACCTTGAACCCATTTAAAATGCGCGCAACTAGTCGTCATGACCGAGCAGATGGGCTAGTAGTTCGTCCATAGAATTTATCTATGAGTATGTTAAATCGAACAAGTATATATCTGTATTACATAGTGGGATAAAATGAAGCGACTACTATGCTAAATTGTGCAGGAATGCATACTGCTTCCGACTGCTTGAAAAAAATGATACATTGAAGTCCTTCCATAAGGCGTCCATGACGTGTGACAAGCGTCTTTAATGTATAACGTGAAGCAATCGCTAAATGCCTTTAACATTTCGACTAGGTCAAAGTTAAGGGCATGACGGGTATGGCCTGCGGGCGCTGATGGTATACCTGCGCAGCGACGATGTTTCACAGAAGTTGTATGGTCATGAATTTTGTCAGTGAATTTTTATTTCGTTTTCAATGCATGTGGGCCTAAACGGTCTCTTGCGCACCATGTCAATATCGGTATCAACTACCTATCTTATCTATCATTTTAGTGTGGCGTTCCGTTAAGTGCAAAACTAAAAAACAAACAGCTTTCGAGTTTTCTCCCATATAAGCCTCTACTCATGACAGATAGAAGATATGCGGTAATACTATATATTTGTTTTCGATTCGCCCTTAATCTGAACCACCCTAAGCGCGGATCTCAGGGTCAAAATAATCATCAATGTCTTTTTTTGATGTTGCGTGTATGTTTCAACACTCGAACAGTTCGTAGATCTTTCGAAATAGGTTTGCATTCCGCACTTTGTACAAGTAATTGTATTGAAACCGATTTGATAGTGTTTTATATTCATGAAACACAATAGTTTTTAGCATGATATCTAGTTTCGTTCGCGCAGATTCGTACACATGTAGAAGTAATACTGCGTCATGTTTTAAGTACTACCAACGCTTGTTTGATGTTTGTTGGTTGCTATGTTTTTTTTTTTTCTTTTTCGTTACAACAAGTGTTATCCCAGTTGGTGACTAAATACGACTGACTACTCATAAACGGGCGTGTCGCGAAATAGAAGTGTTGCAGGCCGACAAAGTAGGAGAGTAACGTAGAATAGCTGCCGTCTGGTACCGTTTCGTTGGATGCGCAGAAGAGTTAGCTTCTCAAAAAAGTAAGATAAGTATATAGTTCAGACCGCTGTAGAGCGGTCTTTATACCGATATCGATCTACATAATACTGCAAAAGTGTACGGCTCTCTGTCTGTATGCGATCCTATCACATGGCTCACTCCTGCAGAGGACAGGAAGATATCGAGTAGAAGCAATTCCACAACCCAGACCTTCTCATACACTCGCTGTATACCAAATACAGTGAGTGAGTGAGGGGCGAAGCAAGTGGGCAAATGTAATGTAAAGATAAAATTTGTTCAAAATGGCCACTTTGATCAATTCATATGGCAGAGCTCACACAAAGAGCCGAAAGTTAATTTATGAACCTCGAATCGGACTACTCAGGACTTTTGTGCTAACAAAATAAGCTCTTGCTTATTTTCGAATATTTTCTTCTTCTTCGCGCGAAGGGCTTGCTTTTGCACCCTATAAAATAGTGTTGTAACTGAAAATTTTCCTACTGCGCGATAAAGGCTATGCTTATTTTCTCCTGGTTTCTCCTAGTTAGGATGCCTAAAGCAATGATTACATCTCCCCTCGTTCCTCCTTGAAGTGTATAAGAGATACATAATCACTGACCTTTAGCCATCTCAATTCAAAACTTAATCGGAAAATTTATTTTTACCATAAATCCGAGTTCTCTTGGAGCTGATGTAATATTTGACCACCTAAGTAGATTACCTGAAATTATGATCGTAAGCACAAAAATTATTTGAATATATTTTTATCTTTGAATTGCAGTGGAAATTTGAAGGGCTGGATAAAGAGCCGTTTATTCTCCTGGCCCACAAAGGATATATTATATCCGAATGATTCCTCAGGTCGGACAAAGAATGATACCATATATTTCACGCAGTTGCTTCACACTGCATATATTGTATAATTACAGATTAGCAGTAACTGACAATCTGGTCTTGCTCGTTAGGTGACGAAATTTCAAGCAGAGTAAAACGTTTACGGAGAAAAACACTCGAGCCGAAACAAAGTGACGAACTGTGGGGGATTTCCAGAGCATCTTGTTAAAAGTTTGTCAGTCCTTGCTG